CAATTAGGAAAATAAAATCAAATTAGAAGAGAGAATCCCCGAACATCTTTGGTGGTGTCCACGGAGTTGAGCATAACTTTCTCATCCGGACACCAAATCAACTGGTTTTGGCGGCATTGGAAAGCAATTTCAGCTGGGTACAATTACTGTCTAACGACAAAATTCCAAATTTGGACTCGAACATGGTCAAAATTGGATTCCAAAAGCGATCATGAAAATACATACTACAGTTCGAGGACATGAATGTTAGAGTAGGTGACCAACAAACCAACATGTGGCTGTGGTCTTTCGTATTTATTATTGTAATAAACAAACCTTCATTCGTATTAATGATAAAACAACTTGGCATTCTATATCTTTGTCCCTTTGTCACAAGCATAGATATAGTCCTTACAGTTATTACAAGTACGAGTAAATGATCGTTAGGATCGTGAGATATTTACTTTAGTATTATACCTGTTAAACGTGTTTCTAGTCGAAGGGTTACGCCACCAATGAGGATATCGGCCCTTCCCATTAGGAGACTAGCACTGAGTGTGTGTGTACTGCATCTCATCAGTAAACGGTATTGTGATATCGGCATGCATAAGTGGGTGCTCGTAAGTTGACGAGTTCACTGAACTCCCTCACCCTAGAAATCTCTAAGTGGTTCCCAATAATCGAGTAGAGATATCTATGGTATAGTTGTACACCATTAGTCCTAATGACCTAGACATCACCGTGACTTCACTAGAGGACCAGCTGTATCGTGACCTGTCCCTGAGTTCCACCGAGGACCATCCCAAGGGCCAGTGTTCGTGCAGTCCGAAATCTAGTGGGAGGTCTGTGCATTGTAGTCGGGGATTCGATCGCTAGAATAGTCTTGGATGTCCTGTGTGTTCTGAAAGTTTGTAATCATTCTAAGTCTCTGGCCAGAGCTGATTAAGTCTCTAGGTCATGCACGTAACGATTACAACACTTAGAACGATCGCACCGTCATTGAACATATAAAGGGGTCTCGACGAACCAATGCCTCTAGTTCAATCAGGACATATGTATCGAAGGGACCGTACTGTACGTTAATTATATCTGAAGGTTCTTGCAGGCACTTCATTTGTATCTAGGGAATCATGACGCGTAGTTGCTAGACGCCAATCTTGATTCGTTGGGTGATTAAGGTGCAACAAGCTTCATCTTTATCGTAACTCTAGGGGACGAGTTTTGACCACAAAGGGTTGTGGGCCCACGGCTAGCTTACACCTGAACCATCGAGGGTCACACTGCTCGTGCACATGAGATCTTTGAATAAACAGTCAGAGATAATATAGTTTATCTTTGCATGATTGGAAGTCAATATGATTGGGTCCAACATTCGTAATTTGGAATTATGAATGAGAATAAGAATAGGCAAACGTATTAGTGAACTTTCTAAATCGGGAAGTTTCCAAATTTAGAAGTGCACTGAATTAGGGTTTC